TTCTCAGGGTCATCTTTGATGTGGAGAAGTGCTTGGTATTGTTTTCTGCATTGATGTTTGCCCCTGGTATGTGGAAGGAAAGTCCTTGTGCAGGGCAGCCCCTTGGTGTGGCCTCAGAGCTTGCAACCTGCTGCCTGGAGAGCACTGCCCCTCTCGAGGTCCCTCTGCTACACACTAAAGGGCTCCTTAGCTCCTCTGGCTGTTTCTTAGTTACCCACACAGCAGAAGTGCTGCCCTCCTGTCCCTTCCCAGTGCATGCAAGCAGCATATTCCATTTCTGTCACTTCCCTGGCAAGGCTGGCTCTTGCCTGAGCAAGATATTGCAGCCCTTGGTTATAGGAACATGAAATTCCTTCTGAAAGAGGATTACAGCCACATTGCCCTAAAGTCAAACCAAGGGCAAAAACTGCACAAAGGGAGGTTGGATCTCTGACTAAACTTTTAGATCCTCCAATGGTAATTACTAGGGGTACAACTTTTACCAAAATCAGATCTTGGTGCCCTACTATTTGTGATGATACAGGCCTTAATTCTTATCCATTAATTGTTATATTATTTCCATCACTGCTTCTCCTAAGCCAATGGCTGATCCACATTCAGCACCCATGCCAGAAATGACACAAACCACAGTTCAGTTTGCTCATGCAGACCAGCAGGTCAACCAATAGCTCAACTTGTGTTCCACAGGTACTTCATTCAAGATAAGGGTAAAAAGCCACTGGACTCCCACTCCAGCTGTGGAGCACCTGTGGGAAGGCAATCACCTGTCCCCCTCTGCAATTTTCATTATCAGTTTGAAGAAAATTCCCTCCTTGGCTGCTACCATTACCCTTCATTAGGGCAGAAATGCCAATACAAAGAAAGATGATCTCCTCCACCCACTGAGACACCTCCAGCAGCCTCCTCCTGGTTGCTAATGTCACCAGAGGAGGAAGTAGGTGCAATCCTCATATGAAACTCCGTTTTTTCATATGGCTCATAACTGTGCTTCGAAGCTAAACACAATATCTTACATAGAACATTCAAGCTGCTGCCTTTCCCAGGGCTCCCAAGGATAGGCTGGAATACCCTTTCCAGCAGCCCAGACGCTTTGGTGGCAGTTTTATCTCATGTGGCTTTCAGCACACAAATGCTTGGTTGAGGAGGTGATTTGAGAGCCTCCTGAGCTCCCAGAAGTTCTGCCTCCAATTACAGGACACAGGAGGGAAAAGTAGTAAAAGAATGCCAAAACAACAGTTTATCAGAATAAATTTCCTGGGGAGCTCCAGAAAACTCTCACCACCACTGCCAAGCGCAGAATGTCACATCCACACATTCTGGTCTGCAGAGAAATGGTGACACAGAGGGGTTCAATGCTGGGTGTCTGCATGTTTCAGCCTTTGTGTGCCTCTGCTGCTGACCTCCAGCCAGACCTGCCCTCCCAACTCCTCCTAACCCTACAAAATGCTCTCAGGGAGCCTAGCCCTTGATTCCACGTCTTCCCTCCAAACAAGGACCCTCACCCCACACCTGTGGCTGACCTGTACCCTACAAGCCCCAGCACACTTCGCCCTCAAAGGTGTCATGACCCTCGACCAGGCTGTGGGTTTAATGGCATGCAATTATGGGAACATCTAAGCAGCCTGAGAAGTGCCCAGTTGCAGGTTCTCATCCTTTTTCAGTCACTCATGGCTCTGCCTTGTATTTTTCTCCAGCCCTGGCCAGGGCAGGAAATGTCACTGCTGGCAGCAATTTAACCTGGCTGACTTCAGTGCTTGCCCAGGGTGAGTAGCAGGAGGGTGATCAGGGGACAGGCAGATTTCCATCTCCCAAAGGCAGGGGCAGGGAGGTCAGGGAGAAAGCACCCAGCACCAGCACAGGACAGAGGGAAGCACTGGAGGCCCCCAGCCCTTGCAGGCAGCCTCAGAGGCAGGGCACATCTACAACATGCAGGAACAGCATCCTGTACAGATCTGCTGTTCACAATAGATGTGGAAAATATTGTACTTTTTGTGTCCAAAGAAGGGAATTTGAGAGGTGAAGACTTGAGCAGCAAAACTGTGGGGTTTAAACAGTTTGAAAAAAGTCTGTGCTTTCTCTCTCTTGTGTATTTCAGTGCAGTGGTACAGGTTTTGATCCATTCAAGGCTGAATTTAAAGTTCTTTTCTAGCATTCTGGCTCAGAAATCAAGCATACTTGCAGCTTTTCAATATTCTCTCTTCTTTTAGCCCTTTATTCCCCAGCTCACACAAGAACAATCCTTCTAAATGCAACTCCCTAGTGAAGATGTAAAAATATCTGGGATCATTAAAAAGCCATCAAGGCCATTGCACTATAGAGTGCTCTTTGCTGTCCTGATAGAATCCCAGGAAAGTACACAGCTGGGCCTTGCAGAAGTTTGTATTTCTCCTCCTGAAGATTCTCAATTAAATATTTTTAACCTACTTGTCACAAAGCACATTAGAAGTAAAAGTAATTTGCATTCCTTGGACATTTTTTCATAAAGAAGAATGAAGATTTATCCCCCAAGTTAATCCCTGGTATAAGCAGTCATTCCACTACAACTCCTCAGTAAAAATAATAAGGAAGAAAAGTCAATGGAGTCATTACATAAAGCTGAGCAAAGCCAGGCTAATCTATATGTAATGTGGGAAGCCCCAAAACACAACCACAGAGCAGCAGACACAAAAACATCAGCTTTTAAACTCACATCTAGAATTTCCCATTGTGTCTTGCAGAAACACTATGTTAGATTCCCACTGAATGCGATTAAAACACTACAGGAAAGATTATTATTCCTTCTACTGCTAAAGATAGGTATTCAGCAGCGGGGACTTTTGTTACTGCTTGGAAAAGCCAATCTGCGGCAGGATTTCCAGTGCAACTTGTGAAATTGAAGTGGAAAGTAGAGCAACTGTGATTGTCCACGGCACGTGAGCTATGCTTGCAGCTGCGAGGGACTCTGGGTAGCTTTGCACACTCAAGCAATTAATTCTAGGGTTGAAGGCAACTCTACACTCAAGGATCTTCAAAAGGGAAAGAGAAATCACAATGCCACCTCGGGTTCACGACTGATTCATAACAGATGCAGGGACCGCAGCCCTTGTGGTTCCATGTCAAGTCTGGAGACGTTTTGATGAATTCTGAGCAGATGGAGCATAAACACAATCCCTCACCCATGCACGTTTACTGCCCATCAGTAATTGCACTGTACAGGGGCTTAATGGCCAGACCTCCCACCCAAATATTTCATCCACACTCTAGAGCAGTGAAAACCCCGTGCCCTGACCACAAGAGCTGCCACACAGCCACCAAACAAGGGCCACCAAATCTGAAACCTCAACCAAGAGTCAGCAGCCTTGGCCAGTGGCCTGGCACAGAGACATCACATTTCAAGGCTATCAAGGTGTCCAAGGACCTATACCAGTCACTGCTAACTTGCAACTCACTCCTGGAGTCTGAGTATTTTATTTTAGTTAAGCAACTTCTTCCTTGCTAATATTCTCTGCCCTTCCATACATGTTCTGGCCTATTGCCAGCTGTTTGCCTCATTTCTCTTCAAGAAAAATTAACATGGAAGCCAACTTCTTTTCCCCCTTATCCTCACAGACAGTATTTTAATATTATCCCCATAAGTCAAAGAAATTTGAATGATTATCTCATTTAAGGATGCTGTTTGTGCTGCCTACAGAACTGCATTCTGCCTCTAATAGTATCTGAACAGCTATTCTTTTTTGTTTTTCCTGGCACTTGGGGTGATTCAAACTCCTGCCTGCTCTTTCAGCCTCACATTTTATTACTCCATAACCAGGTAGAGAGAAAGTAAATGTCTCTCTGCCCAATTAAATGATTACAATAAATCTTCCACAGCCCACAGGAAATGAGCTGAGTTTGTTAAAAGGAAATCACTAATATTTGTTATCTTACATAATCACTTCAAGGGGATTATTGACTGTTCCCTATACGATACAATCCAGACAAAAATTAAAGACAAATCTCATGTCAAAAAAGCAGTCACCCCACTTAAACAACTCCCAAGTGATTTATATGAAGAGGGAGGTAAACATTTAAGTAACCAATACATCACAGCTCTTTTATTCCCCCAAAAAGTGACTTTACAGAAAAAGTCTGGAGTCTAACTTGTGCTGCATGTGTGGCACCAAGTACAAGTGGCTTCTGCCCTGTGCAGATGGCTCAAGCTTACTGTTGTCACAAAAGTGCTGTTTGCTCATGTGAACTGCCTCTCCCCACACCCTGGAGCAAGGAGAAAATCATCAGCTGCTCCATAATAGATGCCTGTAGCATCTCTGACTCACTTTAATTTAAAGGCAATATTAAGAACAACATATGACCATTACACAAGCAAACATGGTTATTTCCACTGCAGAAGGCATTTAATTTCCTGCTGTTGTTGTTCCCTAGACAGGGAGGAAAGCATCCACCTGGGGAACTGCGCTGTGGTGCCCTCAGAACGTGACTCTACCACACAACAGAGATGGAGCTGGGTCCCACCCATGCTCAGGTACCACCACCGCCTTTAGGTACAGAACAACAGGGAGAGATGCTGCCCATCACGGCTCCAAGGGACATGAGTGTAGCAGTTTGTTTAGGGGGGGGTCTCCAGGGGGCATCCTAAGCTGTACATTCCCTGGTATCAGCAGGCAGGCAAGGAGACTCCACATGGCTTCTGAGGGCGCTAATTAGATGAGGGTTTATTGGGGGTCCCACCCCCAGGGGCAGCATGGTTTCTGAGGGAGAAGGGGGAAACGGGGAGGGAGGGGGAGAGAGCGAAAGCCTTGGGAGAAAAAGGGCCAAGAGAAAACTCTGTGTTCTCCCCCCACAGCCTAACAGGGAGATTCAAAGTGGGCGCAGAATAAGAGTTGGCCCATTGGGATCACAGATCCATGATACTTCAGGGGAGGATCACAGGCTGGGAATAAACTCGAGGGATGAGACAGCACATCATTTAACTAAAATGCAACACCACACGTGGGGACAAATACTCAGGGCACAGAGCTCACCACGGACACTTTGCTGACGACGTCCCTGGCGACGGCCAGGCCCTGGGCGAAGGTGCGGGCGGCCACGAAGGCGCGTGTCACCTGCAGCTTCAGCTTCCTGGGCACGTCCCCAAAGGGCTTCAGCTGCTCCGTGTACTTGCTGACGCACTCCAGGTACTCGTCCGTGAAGTGGTACTGGGGGTTCACCAGGCGGAACATGCGCTCCAGCAGGCGCGCCCAGAACTCGTTGAGCATCTCCTCCAGGTTGACGTTGCCGCCCACGTAGTAGCGCTTGAGCTCCACGAAGAGGTCCTTGAAGAGCTCCGAGTTCTGCATGTACAGCCGGCCGTACGTCCGCACAAACATGTCGTTCAGGGACTTCTCTGCGTTCTCCAGCAGCTCTTTGAAGAACTCTAGGAAAGAGGGAGAGAGGATATGGTAAACGCAGGCAGAGAAAACCCCATGCCCCGACCACAAGAGCTGCCACACAGCCACAAAACAAGGGCCACCAAATATGAAACCTCACCAAGAGTCAGCTGGCTTGGCCAGTGGCCTGGCACAGAGACATCCACTTCATCTGCCACCACCCCACTCCCACCAGGACAGCATCCCTGAGCCTGAAAGGTTTTGTGATCTCCTAAGAGTGACCCCCACGTGTCACACACAGAGCTCCACACACCCAGCCTCAACCAGCAGCACATTCATGTACCTTAAGAGTCATCTCTGTTATCTCTATCATCAAGGTGTCCAAGGACCTACACCTGTTGTGTGTTCACACACTCCTACAACCGCTGCTTACCTGGAGGATTAGCACGAGACCATCATCAAACTGAAATGGAAAATTAAAGGACTGCTCCAGAAATTTGTCATGTCTACACCTCAAAACCACGTCTATATCTCAAAATTTTTGATTACTCTTCATAAGCCAATCCCCAAAAGTCTCAATAGACTGAAAGACTTTTATGAGTGAAATATCTCCTGATACAGAGATGTGAAAGATCTCCTGATACAGAAATATCTCCTACGAATATCTCCTACAAGAAGTGAAATATCTCCTGATACAGATATGAATATCATGATTAAGAGTCAGCAAAAAAGACAAAAAAATTGCAAACGTTTCTGATGTTTCCATTTAGGCATCTTAAAAGATGTAATTTCTAAAAACAACATATTGGAAAGAATAAAGGTGGTTTTGTGAAACAGATGTTTTGCACAAATGAGTCCTTCTACCTAGTTCTTGACAATTCATTTTCCAAGATAATCATAAACCAGATTAAAAAAAAATTTTTTGAATTTTAAAACAAATTTTAAAAATCTACCTGCAGGTTCTTTCTTCCATCCTGCAAGTTCATCATCTCTCAGGGCAAGGCCTGACCACTTACCCAGTTGGCCCTGATCACAGAAGGGGCTTCAGATATTTGTGACAGTGAGAAAACCCCCACAAATATACCAAAATTTGCTTAAAATCTGAGGGCTAAACACTTGGCACAATACCAAGAGATTTTTCCAATGACGAAGGACAGATAGGGTCTGTGACCTTTATCATTTTCTAAAAGCAAATCTCCACTTTGGTTCACTCTCTGGGAGCACTGGACAGCCCAGAGTGGCTGCTGCCATGTCCTGGCAGTGCCACACAGCCATGTCCTGGCAGTGCCACACGTGTCCCCAACACTGGTAACAGGTTGACCCAATGCTGATACCACTGCAGAAGCAGTTTAAAGAACACATCCTCCAAGAATTCATCACCACAACCTTGACACGTGGGCCTAAGCACAAACTACCCTGCCTCAAAGCCTTTGCCTTAGAGATTTGGCATAGATGAAATAAAATAAAATATTAAAATTAAAAATAAAAAAATAAAAAAATAAAAATAATTTAAAATTAAAGAATAATAATTAAAAAATTAAAAATAAAATAATTTTTAAAAATAAAAAATACAAAATTAGAAATAAAATAAATATAAGAATAATTAAAAATTGAAAATTACAATAAAAAAAAAAAATAAAATAAAATAGAGAGGTCCAGCAGGCCAAAAGCATTTGGGCCATTTTGGAAGAAAACTCCCAGCTCTATGGCTTTGGGGGCAGCTAAGGAAAGCAAGGTAGGTGCCACAGGGACCCAGCCTCCCATGCCTGTTTGCTCCAGCCCCACAGGGAGCACCAGCACCCCAGGGAGCAGCAGCAGCAGGGTGAGGAAGCAGATTATTTTATGCATGCCACCAGCAATTGAAGATTCTGACCTCTGCTTTTCTGTGACTCATATTCAATAAATATTTTTTAATAAAACATGCCTCTGTGGTTTTCTAAATCCTCAAAGGAGCAATGCTTAGAGCTAGAAGTTGTTATAAGGGGGAGGGGGGGAATATTTTGGCCCAGTGTGAATTTAAACCTTGTTAAAAGACATTATAAGTATGCTGAAGTTCAGATTTTCGTCTTCAAAGTGCTCCAGTACAAACAAAGCCTAACACAGAAAACATTTTCTGGAAAAACTGAAACATTCCATGAGTTCCTGATGAACAAAGTCATGGGGTTCAATGCCTGACATGGCTGTATATAATGCAGCCTCTTAGGAGCACAAGAGAAATGATCCAGGGAAGAGGAGATTGATTTCAAACACCCAACACGTCCTCTGTCCAATATCAGCAGGAACCTCCACTTTCGTTCCCATGACTGGCATTTCCTCTCCAGGAAGATTTTTTTCTGTTGAGTTTATACTATAGAGATTAGCTTGGTGTATATTAATTTCTAATTCACTTAATCATTTTGAAGGCTCACTTCCTTCCTTGGCTCAGACCTTTTAGTAACACCAAATAAGTTGTTTATTTAAATACTTCTGTACCAGGCACAAAACCTGATAGATGCATCAGCAAACTCTTCAAAAATAATTAGATTTTTAAAATTATATTGATGGCAAATCTATCAGATAACTCCAATCATCAGTCTAAAGAACCCAAAGCAATGATTTAAGCCAAGAAAGTTATCTTAAGTAATACATCCATATTACCATAACCAATTTATTCTCCTGACCAAACTAATTTTATTGGTTACACTCCAAAGTGGAAGTTTAATAAACTGTATCCAGGCTTTAGAGCTCTTCATCTCTTAGCAATTTTTCATGTGGGCTAGAACCAGGTATGTTCATTAATTATCACAAAGAAAATCCTGCAATCTAATTAGCAGCAAATACCTGCACACCTGCAGCCTTCCAGCCAGCAGCTTTTCCCTGCCCAAAAGGAAGGTAAATAAAGGAAACAAAAACTTCCCACCACAACCAGGCACTTCCAAAATCCCAACGCAGCACTGCTGAAGGAGGCAGCACGCATGCACAGCGCTGCTGTCTCTGGCTCAAGCTTTAGCCACCATTTTCATGGACACAAAACTGCCCTTCTCAAGTGCCACTGCCCAGAGAAGAAGGGCAGGAGGGCAGAGGAGTTGTGTCTGCAGCCTGGAGTCAGCACATGCCTGTATCCCTGAACGTGCCACACAGGGTGCCCTGGTGCCTGTGGCATGGCCACTGAGTGCCACTGCTGGCACCTCCAGGCTCCTGGGGTGCAGGCAGGGTTGGATGGAGGGCAGGGTGATGTCAAGCATGGCACTGGGGATGCAGGGACACACAACACAGCAAGCAGGGATGGACCCAGCAGTGGGATGTGCATGGCATCTTCCTCCATGCAATGCACAGCTCTTGTAACCTGGTCAGCAGGTTACGAGTTTTATTATTATTATATATCTATACATAGATAAATATATAATTATATCTATAGATATAATTAAATTATATCTATAGATATATTTTAGTGTAGCTATTGGCACAGTGGAAGTCTGCATCCCCAGTTTCTATCTCCACATCAAGAAATCAGCTCGGGTGCCACAAGGAACATTCATCTTTTCTCTGTGCAAACTATGGGCATAGATGCCTGCAAGGAAAAGAAAAAAGGTTGAAAGTCCTTTTTATGAGTTAAATGCTAATCTGACTAGTAACTCGCTATATCTAATTAGATACTAATTCTCCCCTTCACAGAAATGAGCTGATTAGCAAACACCAACATAACCCAGCATTAACCTTGCCAGCACAAGAAGAAAAATGGCAGGTTCCTCTCTTACGTCTCGACTGTTTGCTGGGTAAAATAAATGACCACCTTTCATTTGTATTAGAAGTTGACTTGTTCTCAAACAAAGCAAACACACAAAGGCCTCGGTTGCTTATTTTACAGCACTGTAAAAGCACGTTTTACAGCTGTGTTGCAAGCAATCTGTACTCATTAAATTATCACTCTGACAGGCTTCCTGTGAAAAGCTGTCAAATGCAAACATTTTTCACAGACGACAAATCATACTTTGCCAGTGCTCCCTCAGCCCCTGCTATCTGGAGGGATGGCAGGCTCTCTCTTCCCTCCAGTTATCTTGTTTAAACTCCCTGGACAAGGGCTGGCCCCTCTTGTCGACAAACAGGCGCACACAGGGTTGGGAAGGGTTTCACAAACTGACCTGCCAGAGCAGCACGTGGCTCCAAGGTCCCCTGGCTCTCCTGACTGAGAGCAGAGCCTGCAGAGAGGGCTGGCTGGCACAGAGAGGATGAACAAAGGCAAGGCTTTGGGATAACATGGCACAGCCAGCTCTGGTCCATCCTGACCAGGGAGCAAGGCAATGCTTCAGCACACCTCAGCCAAGTCCTGCTGATGCAAAGCCACCTTCTCACTCAAGGGGATGCTCAGGAGGACGAGGCTGAGGGAACCAGCACGGTGGGACCAGAGCCACAAAACCTTTCTTAATGTCAAGAAACAATTTTAAAATTTGTCTGTATTGCAGAATGAATCCTGTGCATGCTACAGGCTTTGATGCTCAAAGGAAGATCACATTTCCAATGCAATTAACTTTAAGAGGCAGTAATCTGCATTCAGGCAATCTACAACTCTGGGTTCTGTTTATTCTTTTAACATTTTTTAATTTCAGGGTAGAATTTCAATGCCCACTACTTGGGGAAAGCCTAGAGATGTCAGGAAATGGTAAGAAAGTCAGGATGTGACATATGTGCCATCTCTCCAATAAAAATCCTGGGGGGAGAAGTGTCTGCTTTGGAACAAATCCTTCTTTAAAAGAGCACATTGAGAAACATAACCATAGTTACTTGGCAATTTCCTTTTTTTCAGATAATAAGATGTATTACCTCTCTGCAGCTTGAGGGCAGACCGGCCCTGCCAGTAACCCAGTGCAGAACACTGCATCTCCCCAAGGTGCTTCCACATGACATCAGATTGCACTCCCAGAGTAATTCAAAACAATCTTTCTTCCAAATTGCAGATACATGAGCTAATTGAAGAAACACTCCACCCACTGTGAGACAGAATAAATCCCACCTCCAGACAACACACCTACTTCTTTTGACTTTCAGACCCAATACATTTTTGATCTTG